TCATTGTGTCCTTCATTCAACTGGTCACTTCTGGTTCTTTGTCCAATTAATTGGTATGGGATAGCGAGTATAATGGCAGTTGGGCGAAGAAATGTGCCCAGAGACCAGCGGGAGATCGTGGTCTTTGAATTGAAACTGGTTTTATACATCACACGTGCGCTCTCATGGCACAACTTGCTGTAATAACCTTTGATTCACTGCTTTCGTTTTCTCAGGTTAAGAATTCTAATAGTCGCTTATTGTTGTAGTAGAAAACTTTAGAATTTGTTTACTGTATCCTATGGCCTCAGGCATTCTTCATGTATCACAGTCAATTGAAAATTACTGTATGTAAATTTCAGACAATTTTTTGACGAACCTGTTGATCAGTTTAGATTACGGTAGCTCTTATTTCCCGCCAGTTTCATGCAACTGATGTCACTGCAGAAGCAGAAGAATAGTTAGGCGAGGAAGTAATTTTTTTATAAAATCTGCACAAACTATTTTGTAAGAAAACTTAAACATACTTTAACTGCTGTACGGTGGAGTACCGTATCCTATATTCAAAAGTATGGTACCTTCACTGCTTGCAAGTTTCTAGCATTCGCATCCAGAATAACTCGTGTACGATGTAGTAAAAATTATGGTAATTAATGACAACCCTTAAAGCTATGCCTATACCTCACTCGAAAAAGACAAATTTTCAAGCAGAGCTTAAGTTATAGACCGGCTTGCTGGTCGGATTCCTTACAGAGCATCGAACTAGGCTGGTTTTACAATTGGCTATTGAGAGAGTGATATGTTTTCCTGATGTTCATGTCGATCCATGTCAATGGATAACAAAATATGCTAGTTTGTGCGCTGTAGGGACATAACATGGAGAACCAGCATTTAACCCTTAAGTAGTCACGTGTCAAAGAGTTAAATCATCATTCGCGCTGGATCATACTGACCCATTATTTTGCCGTTATTTTGTCCAAGTCTTTTTCTTAGAAACATCTCAGCAATGTAGAGGAACACGAAAAAGACGGATTTATGAAACAGAACAAGAACAGCTGGAATTTTTTAGACTTTATAAATTATTAAGACTTTTTAAGTTAAGAAAATAATTAAGCAGTTCAAGATACATTTTACGCACTTCCTTAATATATTCCTAAGTATGAG